GGGGGGGGGGAACGGGGGCAGGAACGGGGGCACCGGGCCCGGGCCGGGTCACAGCCGGACCGGCCTCGCGGTTGGTTCGCTCGCTGAGCCCCTGGGCACGTGGCTGCAGCCCCCCGCCCACGGCGCGGGGCGTTCCTCGAGCCTCGGGGGGCTTTGTCTGGGGCCGCGGGGCAGAGCCCCCGTACCTGGAAGTGTTGTCGTTCGTTGTTTATTGGGTGTATTTGAGGCGTTTGGTAGGTGTGAAAGAGGTTTTTATTCCTGCACCCCTTTTTCTTAAGTTGGGGGTTTTTTTTACTGGTTATGTTTCTATTTATTTTTACGCCTATTTTCTATTTCTGTTGGAGGTGCAGGGTGTGAGCTAATGGAGACACAGCATTGCTGCCTGTCAGGGTAGCACGGACCGACCTTAGCTGACTGCTGTGGCTCAGCTGTGTGTGCTCCAGCACTGCTCCCTCCTGCAGGGTCTCATACTCAGGAAAACTTTCATTTGAGGACTCTGGCAACTCATAATCACAAGTTGTCATCCTTCTAGGTGAGAAAGATGGACCAGCCTGCTTGAGAAACAGAAAAGCAGGGGATTTTTTTTGTGTGCTTCTAATAACAAACCAAACCCAGGCTTGGTTCCTGTGCAGATGTGCATTTGCAGATGTTGGGCAGTACTTTGCTGTCAGCAGATGGACATGTACCCTGATATGTGCTGGAATCTTAAAACATCCACCAGAGACAACACCAGAGGAACACCCTGTTGTTAAAAGAATTGCACCAGATGCTGATGGGTTGTGACATAATGGTTACCTTTTCTGAAGATTATTACAGCAAATACTTAAACTTTAGTCAAAACAGAGGTGTCCTTTTTGGCACACGACAAATAACTTGTTTTCCAAAAGTAAAACTAAGTTAAATGGTTTTGTACTTTTCTAGTATGCTGCCCTTTACTCAAATCAATATCATTTTTAATTAGCTCATAAGAACTACTTTTTAGTCTCCAATAGAAATGAGCTGCTCCTGGTGTCTGGGGACAGCTCTGAGATTATTGCAAACTGATATGTTTTTAGTGCCCCATTATTTAAAAAAATCTTGTTTTGTTTTGAATTTGAAGTGATGGTCCATCAGACAGGTTTGTAGAAAGCATCTCCTTAGGTTACCACTATTTATGCTTCAAAGTGTGTTGTCATGAAGAGCTTGTAAGCTCACTTGTGCTCAGGTGTAGGAGGGAGATGCTTTGGAAGTGTGGGAGATGAGGAGGGTGAAAGGTGGCTGGTTTGCTTGTAGGTAGGACAGACAAGTGTCTGCTGCTCACAGTGCTTAGGAATTAAAAGCCTTCACAGGAGAGGAGCTTCTTGGCTGGTTTGGGAAGTTCCTGCCCTGCAGCATTAACCATCAGCTGCACAATCACCACACCTAGGAAGGTGTGTGTGCTCCTCAGGAGGAGGTGAAGAACTTCATGGTGTTTCTGTGTGTGTAGCATAGAAGTTACCAGTTGTCAGAAGGTGCCCATAAGCATTTCCAGAGCTGGCGTGTCACTGACAGGGGTATATTGCAACAGCATTTTAATTAAGCATTAACAGTGTAAAACCTCATTTGTTGGGTGCGTCCCAAACTCCCTGTGCCATGACTGAATCGCTGGTAGATCGTAGGTGAACGTGTTCCCGTGTTCTGGGGAAGGTGAGCTGTGCTCACACACTGCAGAGGGAATAATGGAGGATTATTCCCAACCCAGCTTTACCACTCCATAATAACAGTAAACGCTGAAAGCAAATGTGAAAGTTTACTGGAGCATTCCTAGAATACAGAAACATATCAGAATCTTATCAGTAGTCAGAAGTCATACAGTCCAAATGTATATTTTATAGCTTCTTATTAAGATGGCAGTTGATTTGATTGATGCAAAGAAAGCAATTGAAACAAATGGTTTTGTGCAGCAAAGGCAGTGCTCCTGGTTTAATGTGTTTATTTTGAGGTGGCTGCAAATCAGATTTAGCAGCTTTGTAGGAAACTTATTGGGGTGTGTTTTGTGGGGTGGTGTTTTCAGAAAGGGAAAGTTGTCTTTGCTCCACTACTTGAAGTTGGTTTAGGTTGGGAATGAACAAACCAGTGTCAGATCTGAGGAGGAGTAGTGTAAGTGTGTGGGGTGTCAGGAGAGGCAGGGAACAGGTAGAGCTGCAGCTGCTCAGTGTGTCACAGGTGTCACTGGAGCTGCTTTATCTGCAGGGGCAAAAATGGGGGATTTTTTTTAAATCATTAGTTCAGCTGAGGTTTTGTATTCATGATGCTGCATTTACTGGGGTTGTGTTTTCTAAGGTGCTTGTAACATGCTTGTTTAAAAAGCCAGCAGCTGGCTATGCTGGCCTGCATCTGAACAAGCAGCACAGGAGTTTTTCATTATAGTAAGTCAAGATCTGCTCTGCCTTGATTTATATCTATATAGGTATATAGGATATGGTTTCTGTGAACATAATTGTAACAGGATAATTGTTAATGTGGAGGTAGTCCTGCCCATACAAGTAGATCTGCTGATAGAAGTGTGTTCTGAATAGTGTAAGAGATGGAGATGAGAATGAGAGGTGCTGGTCTGAATCTGTTATATGCACTGGAAGGAAAAGAACTCTTGTTCATGTTAATTTAGTTTTCTTAAAAAGAAAACCTATACCTTCTGTATATGTGGAAGGTGTGTTTTGCCTCATCTGACACACTGGGGAAGAGTGCCTTGGCTTTCCTAGGCAGGATGGCCAAATTGCCCTGTTCCTTTTGAGCTTTCAGGAAGAACTTAGGTCTGGTTTAAAAATCAAATACACATTCTAGATTTGAATAAAGACATTTTTTGAGAGGGTGTAGCTCTTATTTATCTACCTGAGGGCCATATGCCTCAAGGCAAGAGCTGCATTGTTCAGAGCTTCACTGCAGCTCTCAAAAGGCAAACAGGAGGCTTGAATTTAGTGTCTGTGATCTCACAGTAGTGCTCTTGAATGTGTGTGGCAGTTGATGGTTTTGAGTAAGAATGGAGTAAATATCATTTTTTTCTGCAGTGAGTCTCTTTCAGTTGCCACCATTTATATCCTTAGTCGTTGTGTTGTTTTTTTTTTAAGGAGGCATTAAAGATTATTTTGATGAAAAATGACAGTGACTGTTGGCCTGTGCCTGTGTAGTTGACCCTGTGAACACCCCACACCTGCAGGTGTATCCAGATCGTGTTGCCAAATGTTTCATTTAGAGTCTACTTCTGGAGTAGTGTCTAAAACAATTTACAAGAATTAGAAACTAAGCAGCTGTGTGAGCAGCTGTCCCCTGAAGGAACACTCAGCCCATGCAGCCCCTCAGGTGGAGGAAAGGGCCTGCTCTGGCTTCAGTTTGCTGTCTGTTCCCTGTCCCAGCCCCCAGCCCTGCTCCCTTTCACCCCGTGTCACCTCTCCTGGGCTCTGATCTCTGCTGTGACTCTGGGAGTTTGTGCTCGTGCTGCAGCTGGGCCAAGGGAGCTGTTGGCGATGCAGATTCATAGCAGCAACAGTGAGGGGACAAAATGGCTCTTGGAATCTAAGTGGGCAAGATAATGGTCTTAAAATGCTTTTTTTCCTTCCTAACTGGTCCGACTCAAGTTTGTGATGTTCTGTTCTGTTTTGTTTCCCCATTGCTGCTGCTGCTCTGAAGGCCTTGCCTGTGGAAGGTTCCTGAGTCAGCTGGAGGACAGCAGTAGCTGAGGTGGATTAACGCTGGAATGTAGGCAGGGGCTGGAGCACTTGGGAGCTATGCTTAGACAGAAAGGGAAAGAGGTAAGAAATGTGAAGTGGTAAGACTGATTTTAAGCTCTTCTTTCCAGACTTTACCCCATCTCGTAATGCCAGCATTTTGCATCGCGTGTGTGAAGTGTAAGGCAGAGGAAAAACAATCAGCACCAGCCTCCTTCCCTGACTATTTTTACACTTTAAATACTCAATGCAGCCAGTTGGCGAGATCCCTTCAATAGCTGATGTATCTGCTGTCTGAGAAAGCACAGATTGGCAGGGCTCTGGATGAGCCTGGGAGAGTATTTGTGTGCTCCATTGTGCCGCTGGGCTGCTCTGCCCTCCACACAGGCCGGGCCTTTGCTGGGCAGGACACACCAGGGCTGCACTTCCCTCCTCATGTACATACCTGTGTGTGTGTCTGTGCTGCCATGAGCCCTGTTCCTGCTGCCCTGGGCTTGGCCCAGGCCCAGCACTTGTGTGTGGTGAGTGAAGGAGCTGCTTTGCCCCCAGCCCACTCCTTTTCAGCTGGATGGGGCTCTGCTCTGGCTGCTGACACGGTGGTGATGTCAGGAAACATGACACAGGAGGCTGGGGACCCTTTTCCCTTGCAGTCTAATCTGGCTGCAGTTTCACAGTCAGTGTAATCCAGTCATAAATTACGTGTATATTGATTATTTGCTTTGTTCGTGCACATTTTACAGTGACTTCTGTGCTGCTTTGTTTAATTAGACAAATGTTTTTGTGAGCTTTGCATTGAAAATTTTAAGGTGATTTTTGATTTAATTTAAATGGTAACTGCTCGTTCTTTAACCATCCTTCTATTTCCAAAATAATTTTTATTCTGGGATTGTTCATGCTTAGCTACAATCTAGATGAGGATTATTTTGCAATTGTAGAGCATATTCATGCAGCCTTTTTTCCTGATCACTGAAGTGTGGATATCATGGTGTAAGCAAATAATATCCTTTGTGCTTCAATGATCTCCAGTCTCGATTTCAAATTTCAGCAAGATGTGCAGGCTTTGCTGCATTTCACACCCAAATCTTTTGGAAATAGCCCTAAACAAGCCAGGCTCTCCTATTGATTATGTGTGTTGCATTTTGATTTCACTGCACATCTGTATGCATATAAACATTTATCTTTGGAGGTCTTGAACAGGCACAAAAATATTCTTAAAGATGGCAGTAGTTGTGCAAGCCTAATTCTTGAGCTGCAAGTGCCTCTAATTCAAGATTTCCTGTGCCCTGGAGAATGGACACAATTTCAAACTGCTTCTCAGAGTGCAGTAGATTGCTGGTGTTGATGTGGGCTTTGTCATGTGTGTTCAAAAGATCCTTCAGAAAACACTCAGATTTAGCAACAGCACATCCTTTACCACACCTCAGCCTATGTCACCCAAATCAAAAAACCCAGGAGGAGCTCCCAGCAGAGTGTAGGGAAGCAGGTTGTTCATCAGGAGCAGAAATGAGGAGTTTTGGTTCCCAGAGCAATCAAAATGTGACCATTTTGGATTTCCTGGTGGGGCACAGAGGTGCCACAGTGCCCAGAACTCCCCCTGAACACAAGTTGATGAGGAAACAGTTAATTCCCACTCAGTTTTGCAGTGAGTGTCCACACCCACCAGATGGAGCTTCGGGCTCCAGTGGAAAATTCCAGAAATTGAGCAAGAATGAGAAGTGTGTGAATGACTTAGGAGATCCCTGTCTGCTGGACTGCAGAAGGTGGGATTTTAACCTTTAAATAAAGAATGAATGGAGACAGGCACATCAGCCTTATCAATTCCTTTCACTCCAGCTGTCTTCCATGAAGTTTCTCCTATGATGACAAGTTGGGAGTTCTTAGTGCAAGAGCTGAAGGGACACAGCAAGCACCAAAAAAGAGATGTAAACTAGAGTTTCATAAACCCTTGCTGAAAATTACCTTTAACCATTGAAACAGCACAATAAAGATTTAGCCTCAGAATTTCCTCCAGAGGATAAGATGGGAGTGTTTTAGTACCACACTTTAGATGGACTCCTCTCCTCTCCTGAAGCCATGTTTACATGGGATGTCAGGAGAAGGGATGTGAAATGGTCCTTTTGGTTTGACACACAACTTGATTTTTTTTTTTGGATGTAGCTGATTTAATTTCTGAAATGTTTTTCAAATCTTTCTTTTTGACAAAGGGTCTTTAAGAAATAGTGTGTTTGTCTGTGAGTGGGAGCTGCTGTCACGTGCACAGTGCTGCAGGAGTTTGGCAGTGCTTTGACCAGGTAGCAACTTGTAGTTGTTGATTGCCTTCAGTTCCAGGTGTCTTAGTTTTAAAACGTCAGGTTTTTCCCCAGGGTTTGATTTGTTGTTTTTTTTTTTTTAATAAGTCCTGTTTTGGATGTAGATGTGGGTTAAAGGACCTTGGATATAGGAACAAGCTGAAGGGCTGGGGCTCGTTTGCTTAAGGTTGCACTGAAGTGCTGTGTCTGACCTGGAGCTGTGCATCCCAAATTCCCCACTGGAGCTGGGGTGTGTTGGAAGCTGCAGGACCATCCTGTTCCCTGGGCAGGACCTTCCAGCTGCAGTGGCTGAGAGGAGGTGCTCTCAGTTCAAAATGCAGCTGTTACAAAACACTCTCCCTCCAGGATTATAGTGGATTGGAAAAATGAGCCCTGAGTTGTCTGGCATTTCAGATGTGCTGTTAAACTGCAAATCTCATTACCTTCACAGGAGTGTGGGTGCACAGCCCTGAGAAAACTAGGCCAGAAATGCTTAAATAATGTGAAAAGGGAAGAGTGCAAGGGAAGAAAGTGAAAATACTCAAAGTCAGGCAGCGATAGATGTGTCGGGAGCCGACTCTTCAGTCACTCAGTGCAGGGAGGAGAGAGATTTAATTGCAGCTCTCACCTTTTCAAGGGAGTTTTTAGTAGCTTCAGTTCTTCCAAGTTTCTCTGTTCTCCCTGGTATTTCTACTCCTGGTGTTTTTGACTTGCTCTCTTTTCCCTGAGACACCTTTCTGCTTCCTGGCTCTCATTCTTCCTTGCTCAGCTGTCCTGGAACTGTCAGGTCCCAGAGTCCCAGGGACAGGCCATCCTTGTCCTCATGTGAATATAGAGTGTTACACACCATCATTCCACACAGCACTATTTAACCTGCAGACACAGGGAGGCAGCTTTTCTGTTGCTGTGGGAACCACAGGTTTTTTCTTGCATATTTTTCTTGTATTTTAAGAGATTTCACTCAATGTTGCACTACCAGGCTTCTTTGCAAATCTGTTTCATGGCTGCCTTTTAGAGCATGTTATTAAATGTAGTTAGCTGGGCAAATTGTTAAAAGTTGCCTTATTCTAAAAGCAGTTGGAATAGGGAGATAAAAAGCACAGTATCAAGAAACCAAGTCTTGTTTCATCTCGCCCAGGATCTTAGAGCTGCAGCCAGCTCTGATGTTTGCTCCTGTATTGGGCTGTTAGATAAAATACTGACAAAATAAGGGCTAAAATAAAAGAAATTTGGATTTTATAAAGTCAGAAATGCCAGATGCTTGGGGATCCTTGTCAGCAACACAGCGCAGGACAATGATACTCAGTCTGTGGAGACCCAGCATGGGATGAAGTGCTTCCCTGAGCTCAGCATCATCAGCCTGATAAACTAATTGTCACTGATCTGCTCTCAAGGCTGATGGGTCCTCACCCACAAGTGTGCTTTCTGCAGGGAGGATTCCATGGGAGAGAGGTAATTTGGGCTTCCTAGAGGCACACGGGCACTAAGTTACCTTCTAGTTAGGAAATACTTCAGTGTGAAACAACCACCCATCATCCATCCTTACCTGTCTGAAGGTATGGCTGGTGCTCTTCTCAAAGCAGATGCAATATTCAGTTTTGCCTCAATGTGAAGCGTTTTAAGAATTTTGTTCTTTTTTAATTTCTTAAAACGTTTTAGTGTCTTGTGTTGGAACTGTACTTGCCAAAGAAAGCAATCTGTACTTTAAGCTGTGGATGTTCTATCTGAATAATGAAGAGATTAAAATCTAACAATTTATTTTGCTTTATGCCTTGGCAGAGTAATTCTAAATGACTCAACAAGTTTTGCTTTTATGAACTTTAGATTTGGCTGTTCCTGATTTCGTGGTGCTGCTGTGGTGTCTTGTGTTTCCAGTCTGTTCAAAACTGAGTTTCTGTCCATGGCTGATGGGAGTTGAAGAGGGATCAGTCTTCCAGCAGAAGTGTGATCATTTACATGCCATTCCCCAAAACTTCCCATCCTCCTCCTAGCAATGTAACCGAGTTCTAATCTGAATTAAATTCCTTCCCAAAGGAATGTGTGTCCCCAGGGCTGTGGCTGACACCTGTTTGATGTCCCATAGTCTGGTCATTGAAGGTGGGGCCTGTTTGTATGGACCCTTGCAGGAAGAATGAGCTGCCCAAGGCAGTGCTGTTGCTGTGGGTGCTTCAGTGTCCCTCAGGGTGCAGCTGTGGGTGGTGCTGAGAGCTCAGGGCAGTGCTGTTGCTGTGGGTGTTCACCGTGTCCCTCAGGGTGCAATTGTGAGCTGTGGGTGGTGCTGGGAGCTCAGGGCAGTGCAAACAGCTCTGACCCCCTCAGCCAGAAGGTTGGCTGGAGTGTGAGGAGGAGCATTCCCGCTCTGTTCACTGCTGGACTCTGCACTGGGTGCCTGACCTGCACTCTGAGCACCCCACTGTTCCTCAGGCAGCACCACCCAGCACAACCTGCTGTTTAAGCCACCAACTGGCTGCAGCCCTGTGAGCTGCACTCAGAGCAGCCCAGGCACAGCACTGTGCTTTGGCAGGAGCACTGATGGTTCATTATCAATGTGGGATTGCCCTTATCACCCCTCTTACCTTTGTCTTTATTGCTCTGTTTTGTCCAGCAGGATATGATCCTCCTCCTGTGCCCGGCCTGGGGGCTCCCCCAGTAGGTGCCACATCCCCTGAGCGGGCGGCCTGCAAGAGACTTGGGTTTGGAGGCTTTGGCAGGAAACTTGTCCAATGAGTCTGAGACGCCCAAGCACCATTAATTTTGGAGGTAAATGCCTCGTCACATGTACTGAATGGATGGGGAAGAGTTCAGATTTTCATTTGACAAAGTATGGGCAAAAAATAGTAGAAAGGATAGTTCTGACTGTTTGCTTCTGAGGTTTGGATGTTTTGAACTTGAAAGGAACACCAACTTGAACTCCAGGGAAATTGAGGGCTGGGGGCTTTGGGCTCAATCAGTCTGGCAGCTTCACTGCAGATTAATTAGTTTCCTGGGTTAAAATTTTCTCCCCTCTGTTGGTTTAAAACCATCAGAAGTAAAAGTGAAAGCCAATTCTGACTGCAAGGGAAATGAGCAGCCTGCCTGAAGTAATGCCATGCTAAACTGGGGGAAAACCTCTGAATTGGGGTAGGGAAGTTCAAAGATACTTAATTCAAGTTGGATGTCCCTTTAAGTTATTCCATGGAATCTAACATTACATATTTGAAATGTTTAATTTTGGAAATTCAGCTGAAATGCTCTTTATTAAGATATTTTCTATCATTTGTCTATAACTTGGTCTGTCAAAGTGGGCTGTATAAAGGGAGGGGAGGGAAGAATACTGTGAAAAGTTAAGCCAAAGGGGAAAAAAAAACACCAACAAAACAAACAAATGAAAGAAAATATAACAATTAGTCCCAGAAGGGTTTTTTTTAAATGACAAATTTAAATCTTGGTACTTGCCTTGGGTGGGGGAAGGGGGAGAACAATTTGCATGACGTGTGTTTTACTTCCAATTTAATTCATGCTGTTATTGGAATTGGATCAGGTTACTGATCAAATTGTAAAGATAATGTATGTTTAAAAGTGAATGAGTTAAGTTTGCTCGAGTAAACACCAGTAATGTCCTGGCACCCAGCCCACAGAGAAGTGAAACCCTGCTGAAGGTTTGCAGTGTCTGGGTTGCACTGAGGATGTTGATCCTGGGTTCTCGTTGCTTTCTCATTTTAGTGCCAACTGTTATTGCCAAATATTTAATACCTAAACCGAGGCTGTCTGGTAGAGAGCTACCTACACCTTTTAATGAAGTAATTTGGAGCATAATCTGAATTTTCTGTACTAATGTGTTGCCAAACTGCATGCATTTTTTTGATTATGGTGTTTGACTCTGCTGCAGCCCTTCCCTTTTAGTATTATGGATATTAAGAAATTTGGGGTTGAATTATTGGAATGAAAACCATGGGATCATGATACAGAGCTAACAAAGGCAATGGACCAGAGGAGAGGGTTAAAGTGTGTGGGGTGGGGTATTATGTAGGGGAAAGGAACAGCTTTTAGAATAAGGGTTTGAAACATTGCTTTTTCTGTAGGAAAAAGATGGAGTATTGCATGCTGGGAACAAGTGCTTTCCAAAAGGTAGCTAAATTTTAAAAGTACATTTGTTTCATTTTGTTTTGGGCTTTGCTTAAGTATTCTAATCTGGTAATTTTGTCCTTTTCTGCAGTTTTCATTTTGATTAGACCTCTGCAAATCTCTCTTCTAAACAAAAGTTAAACAAAAAAGCCCAACCAAAACAAACCCAAAAACCCCTCAAACCTGGGCCACAATTGCAGTTTATCATTGCTGAAGCATTGCTCGGTGTGTACAGAAAGGAATTTAAAGGTTGTTCATAATGATATAACTTCTTCCTGGGGTCTGTTTTGTTCTCCATGATTTCAAAATCGCAGGTATTAACATTGTTACATTTGGAGATATGAATGTGTTGGGTGAATACAGAGAATAACTAAAAGTAAAACCTTTTGTTAAGTGTAATCTCCATTGGCACCTCTTTAAAAACAAGGAACTCAAACCTCAAAACCCCAAACCCAAGAAGCCCCACTCCTGGGGAATGCTGTCAGCAGAAACTCCAAGTAAATAGTCTCATTTTTTTTCCCTTTGTTCTTGTGAATAGCAAGACATAACATACTTGGAGGAAGTCTGAGTAGATGAGTCAGGACTTATTTCATTAACTGCAGTTAATGTTTTGGCCAGGTTTCCCCAGGAAACAAAGCTTACACAATTTTTCAGATTGTGGCTTGTCTCCTAATCCCTCCTCCCAGCCAAAAGCAGAGGGAGCCATTTTCGACCAAACTGGGTGGAGATGGAGGTCTGAAAAGATCAATGGGCACCTTTAAGTTTGGTTCAGTGCAGCTCTCCATCCACTAAGGGAGGAAACAGGTTTGAACATTCCCAGGTTTCCTTCCCAGCTCTCCTGGCAGCCTGTTCCTTCAGCTGGGTGCAGCAACACCGAGGGGCTGCTAAAAGCTCTGTGGGAGGGGTCGTGAGGAGGGCACAGAAATCTCAGTGCTCAGGCCTGGGGCTCCAGGGTATTCCAGAGGGTTCCAGGGGGTCCCTTCCCGGTGCTGCAGAGGGGCTGTGAGGTGGTGCCTGGAGCTGGCAGTGCCTGTCCTCATCCAACACGGAGCGAGCCCAGGGCTGTGCAGGGGAGAGAACAAGCAGTGCATTGTCCTGGCTGAGCATTTGAAGTGTGGACTCCTTTGGAGTGTTGGTGTTGGTGCCTGGCTGGGTGCATGTATAGTGTGTCATTCCATGGATACGATATTATTGCAGGTACAGCAGCAGCTCATGATGCCCCGTAAAGCTTTTCTTTCCCAGAAAGAAAAGCAGGCTCGTGCCAGGGAAAGGGATATGTTAAAAAAGAGGAGGAGGCGACAAGACTATCTCAAAAGAAGCGTGGAACCACAGAAAAATACTGAAACAATAAAATGGCACAGGGATGATGAGAAGAGGAGAGAAAATGAGCAAGTTAAGGACAAAGATATCAAGAAGCGGTGGAGACAGGATGAGAGAGAACGACGAAAGAATGTGGACGCTATGAATTGGCACAGGGAAGAGGAGAAGAGGGAAAATGAGCGAGGTAAGGACCAAGAAGGCCAAGAACCAGCAAAGAAAGGAGGATGAGGGGGAAGGAGCACCGAAAGGATGGACCTTTGAGGCAGCAGAGGATGATGGGGAGAGGGGAAAAGAGAGAGTAAGAGAAGTTCTGGTTTATAAGCATGTGCAGAAATGTTGCTTTAATGAACTGGAGTTCTTACATTGCTGATGATTGTAGTAAGATTGATGTGAGTGGAGATGTAAACTAACAGTCACAGTGGGACAGAAGAGGCTGGGTTTACACACTGCTTATCCAATTGCCTGTTTGCACACATGCTCACACCTAATGCCTTGTTCAGCAGTGCCATTGGTAATGCTGGGTGTCAGATCACCCGAAACTTCAGGTTTTCTCAGTCTTCATCATGGGAGTAAATGAGAGCATTAGGAAAGGGAGGGTCAACCTTATGTGCTCATAAGAGAAGGTAAAACTCATGCTTTATTTTATTTATTTTTAATAATGTCCCTAAGAGAGTTGTAATTGCATGGACAAATCTATTCTGAGGTCAATTATTTAGCATAAGTTGTGTGGAAGTGTGAATTTCATGGAATGCCTTTAAGAAGCAGCAGCTCAAGAGATGAAAAGAAGAAATTCGAAGACATTAGGAAGAAATTCCTCCCTGTGAGGGTGGGGAGGCCCTGGCACAGGTTGCCCAGAGAAGCTGTGGCTGCCCCATCCCTGGAAGTGTCCAAGGCCAGGTTGGATGGGGTTTGGATCAACCTGGGCTAGTGGAAGGTGTCCCTGCCCATGGCAGGGGGTAGGACTGGATGAGCTTTAAGGTCCCTTCCAACCCAAACTGTTCTGTGAAGATTCTATGAAAAAATAAACTCAGTGTATAAGGGGTGGTCTGAGGGGTAGATGTTGCTTATTATGAGTAACTTTATATATTTCATTGTGAGGGAAAATGCTCTCAAAAGGAGTTTCCAGCTTTCTACCTCTATGTTCCTGTGAGGTTTTTATTGTAGGCCTGGGTATCATCAGTTAATAAAAAGAAACTGAACGTCAAGGAAATTGTTAAATGTGTGTAAAAAAAATTTGCACTTCCTTTTTCATTCATAGTTTTCACTCAGTACTCACTAGGAAAGGTTAATTTTTGTAGTTCTCCTTTTCTTGATTGACTGCTTCTTCTAATTGCTCTGCTCTGGGAACTCAGATCAACTTAGAACTATGTTCATGACACTTTTGAAAGAAGTAAATGAAATAGCCAGACAGGAACTTCCCAGTTATTCCTCTAGTACCATTAGAGTCTAGAATTCCACTGGCTTGGTTGTGCCAGTGATGGATGAACAGGCACTTGGGAAGAGCCAGTGGGCACCGAAGAGTCACTTTGGGATCCCTGTCCTCGTACAGGTCTGGGATGCCTGAACAGGATAAAATGCACTGGGGGGTTTGTGTCCAGCCTTTGGGGAATTCCATAACTGGTTTTTCCCTGCGGTTTCACAGCAGTGCTCTCCCCAAACCTGGCTGGGTGCAGACTCCCTCACAGAATGTTCAGGTCACCCACGTTCTGTGCTTGCTCATCATGGGAGGTGTCCTGTGTGGGCAGGAAATGGTGTCATTTCCAGTTAAGCACAAAGAGAAGGAAACCTAGAGTAGGTTTTCTAGAAAACCTAGAGTGGTGCTGTCATGGTGCCTTTGCACAGCAAGGTCTTCCTGCAGCTTAGTTCTTTAGTCTTTATTTCTTGCTGAAAACAGTTTTACTATGCAGACCATGACATTAGAAACACACTGTGCTTGCTGCTTGCACTGGACCAAAGCTGAAACATAAACCCAGCCTAGTGAGCACCCTGAATAGTGCCCAAAATTGCAAATAACACAGTGGGCAGATTGGGAATACTGGCTGAAGATTTCAGTTGGGGGAAAAAGGCTGTCTGCCACTGGTGCACCTTTCCCAGAATCTCAGCAGCATTGTGGTCTGTGGGTGCTGTGAAGCTGCACATGGGAAGATCAGTCCTTTCATCAGTGAGAGCTGGAACAGCCCCACCCCTGATACCTGAGGGCACCAAAGGCAGCAGATGCACAGCAGCTCCTCTGCTGAGGGCTGGCCAAGATACTGGAGAATTAAGATTTTAGTTACACTAAAATAGAAAGATCTTTTGGGGTCTAAAGACAGGTGGGAGCTTTTTCTTTTTTATCCCCTCGGATAATTTGATGGATGTGGGTTTCTGGTGTGTTTCCCTCTGGTGGTCCCTCCCCTGGCTCTGAGTGCAGACCTTCCTGTGAGGTGGGAGTGCAGCGTTGGGTGTGAGATCAGGACACCCCTCCTAAGGCAGGGCTGTTTGCCCTGGCAGAGAAATGTAGCATAACATTCACTGTTGCAACCTAGAAGACTAAACCAGACATGCAGTTACTGTATTTTACAGTAATTTTTCCAAATAATTGCACGGTCATCTTTTAAATTCATCTTTTGACTCAGCTGGTTCCAGTCCCTTGGTAACTGGTATGTGTCAGGGCTGAACTGCATGGCCAGTTGAAGCTGGTACAGTGAGAGTAGTTTATTAAATGTTAAAACTGGTTTAAAAATCAGAAACGTAACAGGAGGATGTGTCAGACATTCTGGATGTTTTTAGAATAGGGACTGCAATTGTTTCCATCTGGAATTTGAAGTGCTAGTAAGTCAAGTGGTGAAGAGGTAATTTGGAGTTGGAAGTCACTGAAAGACTGTCTAAATGCTAAGATCTGTTAAAAAAAAAGCAGTGAAGAGTTTGGGGTTTGTTAAAAATGCTCTGTGGCTATACAGTGGCTAACTTGGGGCTAGACCTTGTTTCCTTTCTGTGTTGTCATGCCATAGAAATGCGAAGTCCTGGTTTCCTGTTCTTGGGATATTTGCACTGTTAAGTTCCTAAAACTAAGCAGCAATGGTGGGTTTTTTCCTAACTATTCACACCAGTGCTCCTGAGAGCATTCCAAGGTGTTACACCATTTCCCCCCCTGCTTTGCCCACCGTGGGTGACAAGGTTAGGGATGGATGGAGAGGAAAAGCCTTTTGCTGTGGGACAGGAGGGACCTCAGGCAGATGAAGCATCCCTGGTTTCCAGCACAGCATCAGTGTCTGGCTGGTGGCTGGAGATGCCCCTCAATCCCAGCAGGTTTCATGTCCCAAGGAGGTGCCAGCAGAGGGTTGTGTACAGTGCAGTTACAGTTTGAGGTACTGCTCTAAACAGAAATGAAGGGAGGTGCTAAAAGTTGCTCTTGTAGTCACAGACCACAATAATATCTGGCTCTCCACTGACTGTGATTAAATAGTCAGAAATTTCCTTAATCAAATGAACTGTGCTTGCTTGAGGATGAGGGTGTTTTGTTAGATCAGGTGAGTTGGATTCAGCCAACAAGCAGAACTTGGTTGATTTTAAAAGCTGATCTGTCAAAGTTCAGGTTTCAGATGTGAAGATCTAATTCTCTCCTCTGTTATGATGCTGGGGAAAGGAAGGTCCTGGAGTTTCTTGTCTTGTTAAGACTTCACTGAGGGAGGCAAAGGGCAAAGGCAAGAGGCTGTGCAGAGAGACCAAAGATCTTCTTTTCAGGCAGTTCTAAATAATTTGCTTTTTCTTTGGGTTTCTGTATCACAGTGTATTAGGCATGTTTAGACACAGTAAATAAGATAAAGCATTTGGTTCCTTTGGTGAAGAAGTTCAGTGGCATTTTGTGCTGAAATCAGCTATTTGATAACAAACTTTATTTGAGACTTGTGGCTGACTCAAGTTTACAAGTGATCACTTCCCAAAGCCAAGCTCTGCCCTGACTGGGGTGAGACCAGAAATGGTTTCTTTGCAGGCAAAAGGAGTTTGTTCTTGAAGTGGGGACTTGGATTTTAGAGAAAGCAGCAGGGCTTGCCAGGAGCTTTCCCATGACTGGTTCATGCACTGCTGTTTCTGCAGTTCATACTAATCACTTGGGTTTTTCTGGAATAAAATTTCTAGGACATTATCTCCTTGGATTTGAAATTCACATGAAAATATTAATTCAAATCCTGAACACACTTGACTGTGCTGCTACATAGAATTTTTTATATTAAACTGGAGCCTGCAGGTAGTGCCTGGAGGGGTTACTGAGCCAGTGCAGCCCAGAGAGAGCCACGTTATCCCACTGCCTTCAGAGAGCAGGGGCTGCTGGAGCCACAAGTCATTTCTTGGCTACATTAACATTTTTCACTCTGGCTCTATGACCTGCAGCAGCAAGAACTTGTAATAAATGGCTGTTCTTGAGTTTGGAAAAAAAAAAATTCATGCTCTGCTTTGAAAGCAGACTTGTGTGACTTGATTGTAGCTCAGAGTTGAGAGCCACAGCTCCAGTTCTGCTGAGGGAAGAGTTGGAATAGACTGTTACTTCCTTTCTAATATTCCTTCTCATATCTTTAAGGATAAAACTACTCTGTGCACTATGTGCTGTGTCTTGTGTCCTGTTAATGCAGTTCTAGTATCACACAAGTCAGATCTGATTTGAGTCTTTTTAAACCAATTTGTTACTAATGTTTCACAAAACTGGCATTGGTGACCCTCAGCCCTGTTGTTAAATATTTTCAATTACTCTTCCTGTCTTTAAAATGGACCTGGCTCACTTTAGGCTGTATTAGACATTGTTTTTACAATTAAAGCAAAATTATTATTTTTAGTCAACGAGATATTGGTTCTACTTGTTGAAGTAACTAAACTAATGGTAAAATTGCCTTGAAACACATAAATGTGCTCTTTGTGGTCTTACTTTTTTTGATACAGCAATTTCTCAGTACAAATTCCTGTTTGCAAGATAGATATCCATTACTGGTTTCAAATTTTCCACCATTTATGCGCTTGTACTTTGACATAAATGGTATTATTTTTATTTTACTTGATCCAAAGGCATGTTAAGCAATAGCAGAAATAACAGGATGCAGGCTCTGCCCAGAGGTGCTCACACAGTAACTGATACCCCATGTGGGCAAGGCCAGGGAGAAAAGAGAGCAGAACTTGTAACTCTGGAGTAACTTACTCAGAGCCTCACACACAGAACAGAGTCACAAAATCTTACTGATGTTGAAAGTGGTTTTTAAACTTCCCTGCCATGTGTGCCTTTAGAAATAGCTCTTAATACAAGTCAGAGCCAGTGGCCATGTGGATAAATCACAATTTGAGCAGGAAATCTGATAAAGAACCATAACCTCGAATTCAGGGTTCAGTAACTGATTTGCCTCAGTCAGTTTTCACAATAACAAGAAGTCAGAAACTCGGATCAGACCTTATTTCCCAGGCCTTCATGAGGATTTAAAACAGTTCCCTGGGCCAGAGTGAGCAGGCTCTGCAAGGCCAACATGAACCACCCTCACTGTTTGAACAGTCAGGGTCCCTCCTGCACAGAGGGAGTGTCTGAGGCCTGGACAGTGTTAGAGCTGCAGGTGAAATCCTGGTACTGGAGGAGGGGTGGGAATGGGGAGAGCAGAGGAAAAGAGCAGCTCCTGTTGTGTAGCTGACAGTTCCATGTACACACAGAGGTTTCAGCCATCTCTCAAACTTCCCCAGTGGTTGCTCTCTGAAGGTCTCTGACCAAGCTCTCAGGGCCCCTCTTCATCTTTGCTAAACAGCTTCAGCCAGTTAAAGCTCTAAGTGCAGTAAAGGAGGGAAGCAGCATTAATTTCTCACCCCACCTAAGCTGAGTGCAAGGGGCATCTTTCGCACCAAAGAGACGCTGGTACCTGGGTTATAAGGCTGACACAACTCTTGAAGCTCACCTTGCCAGTTTTCAAATTAGAACACGTATGCACAGGAGAGAAACTCAACTGAAGTACTTCAGCATAGGGGTTTGTAAAGACAAACACTCTAAAGAAATAAGTTATTTCCAGATGCACTGGAAGTCCTGCAATAGTTGTTCCATCAGTTTGTTGCCTTGTTAAAATGCCCTCTCCAGCCTTATGGGCAGCCTCAGCCAAGAACAATCAGACAGAATGTATAGTTTGTTAGTTAGAGGTTCAGCTCTGCTATGAGTTCTGTGGGGAAGTGAGGCAGACAATTACTAATAATTAAAAGTGCAACACTCTCAGACAAAACACATTTGATTTAAACCTTTTCTCTTACTCTCTTTTTTCAATAGAAACTATGTTCCAACTTCCTGTCAACAACCTTGGCAGTTTAAGAAAGGCCCGGAAAACTGTGAAAAAAATCCTTAGTGACATTGGTTTGGAATACTGTAAAGAACATATAGAAGTAAGTATGGCACCTCCCAAGAGTTAGAGCTGAAATTCTCCACAGTTAGGGACACGGTGAGAGATTTGGGGGGTGACATGATTTTTAGACCTGTTTAAGTTCTACACAAAGTAGGTGCTCATTAAAAACTTGAGGTTAAATGTACCTGTAAACACTTATTAGAAGGTTTAGTGGAGCCAAGACACACCTGAGGCTCTGTGTGACTGATTTGGTGACACTGAGATCTCTTTGGTTACGGTGGATTGTTAAATGGCACCTGGTACTGAACACCCAGGAATGCTGCAGGAACAAGGAGCAGTGTGGGATGTTCTGGGGGGGCAGAGGATGGGTCTGTCCATGGGTCTGTACAGCAGGTCAGAAGTTAAAGAACCACTTCATGCCTGTGTCAGTTCCTACAAGGGAAGGGTGTTTGTGCTGCTCTCCTGGACAGACTCCATCAGTGCTGTCCCACAAGTGCAGCTTTCCCTGGCAGTTCCCCGCAGCCCCTTGCAGCTCTCAGCACATGACCCATTGCTTTGGCTCTTCTATCTGTGTCTTTGAAGAGCATTGAAGTGAGATGTGTAAGGGAAAGAAATGCCAGTCCTTCCTGCTTGGAGAAGTTGCTGGGCCAGTCTCACATTTAAGGGGAGAATTCTGAACTGGGACAATGTTCATTTCAGTGGAAATGTTATTTTTGAGTCTTTCTGTGCTGCTGACTTCCATGCCAAAGGGGAAATGCCAAAGTACTTCACAAGGTTACTTTTTTAATAAGAATTGGGTGTCTTGGACATCACACGTGTCCAACTTTTAAAAATTTTATCTGAATTCCTGTGTGAAATTAATTTAAATCCAAACAGACCCAATCAAACAAAACAAACACCACACCAGTACCCCAAAAAGCAAGCAAGCAACCAAAAACCCCCAAACATCAGAGTCTGGGAATGCTTTTCTCCAGGATTGCTTTTGAAATGAGTATGTAACTACAGTCTTGGGATAATCAGGAGATGAGTACTAAAAATGGATCTTCAGGTGTTTTATGATGCAGAGAATATTCCCAGCTCTGCACCTGTGAGGAGGTGCCACACCCCTGCTGCCTTGGGTTAATGATCTGTGCCCTTTGCCAGCAGCCCCTGGGGAGAATCCAGGGAATGCTCAGGGATTGCTCAGGGTTTTTGCTCCGGGTGTTTGGTTCTGACTCTCTGTCCTCTCTTCCTATCTTCCCCTTTTCCAGGATTTTAAGCAGTTTGAACCTAATGACTTTTATTTGAAAAACACTACATGGGAGGATGTCGGACTGTGGGACCCATCGCTTACGAAAAACCAGGTTGGTAAGAGTTTGAGTTGACACTGTGAGGCTGAAGGTGGTTTGTGCTGAAGGGCCTTTCACAAACATGCCAAGAGCTTTTCCTGCAGTTTTCCCCACGGTTCGTCCTGTGTTGGCAGCTCAGGGGACAGCAAAAAGCTGTGTGCTTTGTTCTGATGTTTTTGTGTTGAATTACAATCCTGGTGTGTCTCAGGAGTCTGGGTGGCCAGTACTGGAGAACTGATGGCTCCAGAAACCTTGCTCAAGTCAAACAACTGCACAGTAAGAGCCCATTCTCACCTCTTTCCACGCTTAGCACAATTCCACCGGCCTTCCTGGCAAAAGATCAGCAGTTTTATACAGTTGGTGATAAGTTTTTTACCTTTCTTGGATGGTTTATTCCCTGTTTCCATCACTTTCAGAAGTTGTTGAACTGAACACATCTCACTGCTGCCCTGTGCATGGTCACTGTCAGTGCCCAGCAGCCACAGCCAAGGGCTCCATAAGCTGTATCCCACATGTGGTTGGGACATACCCAGTTCTATACAGCAACTCAGTGACACTGGAACTGTTGTTGTTGAGTTGTTTCTGAGCCAGTAATTAAGGAAATCTGAATTGAGCCAGAAGTGGAAGGAGGAAATGATACTTGATGTTTGTTAGAGCAAGTTGTGTGTGCTGCAGTGGCCTCTCCTGATGGTGCAGTGCAGAGTAACCCCAGCACTGAGGGCAGAATCCTCTCTACAAAGCAATCCCTCTTGTAACACCTCAAAGGTCAGGGATTGCTCTCAGAGGAAATGGGAACCTGACTTGGGATGGATTCCTAGTGTTAATCTGAAGATGTCCCTTTATTACTGTGTTCCATAAAATACACTGATGTCCCTTTTTCTAGCTAATCCAGAACAAAAATGGTAATCTAAAAGGAGGCAGGTGTTGGTTAGTTGGTTTGCTGTGGCCTGTCTCCAGCCCTCCAGGTGTCTGAGGCTCCAGTAGGTGCCCAGAGGCAGATATTCCTGCTTCCTTGTGTAAAGGAGCAGTGCAGCTCTCCAGCTCCTTCACGTGACCTGTGTGTAGCTCAGTGCACAGGACTTGTTCTGACACCAACGGGGAATGTTTGTAACTATTTGAATTCCATGTCTTGCCTCCCCTGAAGTGCCAGGTTGCTCGTGGCCATCTCTAAAGCCAGTGAAACTTTGGTTTGTGGTGCATCAGTTGACAAGAACAGCATTGGTGCCACATTAAATGTAACAAAGGGAAAAGCTGCAGGGAAACTGCAAGGGTGGAATTTTCAAATTTTTTTCCTGAGTTGAGGTTGGTTTAAAAATAAGGTTTGTGCTTTGATCAAAATGAAAAGGCTTGGTGGCTTTAAGGGCTTGCATAGCCTTAGTCTGTGTCTTGGTAAGCTGAAATCCTTTTGTTCACCAAAAATAGGTTTTGAATTCCATCTTTGATATTAAAGTGTGTAATGGATAAAGACACTGAAATAGCTCAAGTTATAGATCCATCTTACATCTCTAGGAGTTTGGCAGATTTAGGTGGGAAGTATCTCATCTGGATACAGTCTCATTCTCCTCAAACAATCCTGTTTGCCTTTTCCCCCAGAAATGAGCTTATGGGGAACCTTTTGTTGCAGCTCAGCTGCAGGGAAAAGGCTCTTTTGTGACTGGTGGGAAAGAGGCTTCTGAGTCAGCCCTGCCTGCTGAGGTCATGGTTAAACTCTTGAGGGGCCTCTTGGCGCATCACATGTATGCTCAGATGATGAACTTCTTAGGAGGCCAGAACTGGGAGAGAAGAAATTAGTCGAAAGGTTTGGGATGGTTGCAGGGGGTCTCGCGAGTATCATTTAGAAACGTTGTTTTGGGAATATTTAGTGGATGTTGTTTTTCTAAAAGCTGCCGTTCACTATTGAGTTTGTGCTCTGTTCTCTGTTCAAGGACTATCGGACAAAGCCCTTTTGCTGCAGTGCATGTCCATTCTCCTCGAAGTTCTTTTCAGCCTACAAAAGCCACTTCCGGAATGTTCACAGCGAAGACTTTGAGAACAGGATTCTCCTCAACTGTCCCTACTGTACCTTCAACGCGGACAAAAAGACTTTGGAAACGCACATTAAAATATTCCATGCTCCCAATGCCAGTACACCAAGTGGAGGCATCAGCACTTTCAAAGATAAAAACAAACACGAGAGCCTTAAACCCAAGCAGGCTGACAGTGTGGAACAAGCTGTTTATTACTGTAAGAAGTGCACTTACCGCGACCCGCTCTACGAGATCGTTCGAAAGCACATTTACAGGGAACATTTTCAGCACGTTGCTGCTCCTTACATAGCGAAGGGAGGGGAAAAGTCCCTCAATGGTGCGGTTCCGTTGAGCTCCGGTGCCCGAGAGGAGGGGGGGATCCACTGCAAACGATGCCTTTTCATGCCGAAATCCTACGAAGCTTTAGTGCAGCACGTGATCGAAGACCATGAACGGATCGGATACCAGGTCACTGCAATGATAGGTCACACTAATGTCGTGGTTCCAAGGTCTAAACCTTTGATGCTCATAGCTCCAAAACCCCAGGATAAAAAGCCTATGGGGCTCCCCCAGAGGATGGGTGCCCTCTCCGCTGGAAGTGTCCGGTCTCTCTCGTCGCAGCAGATGATGAACAGACTCACTATACCAAAGCCTACGTTAAATTCCACAGGAGTGAATATGATGTCAAATGTTCACCTACAACAGAACAATTACGGGGTCAAATCGGTGCCCCCGAGTTACGTTGGGCAGCCGGGGGGGAGGCTCAGCCTCAGTGGAAACTCACCCGTTTCTCTTTCCCAGCAATCACAAACCATGAAACAGTTTTCAGCGAGTGGGAACGGAAGGCCTTACACCCTTGGAGGGGAGCAGAGGTCCCAGGCCTCAGCAAGGTACTCGCTGCAGTCTGCCAACTCCTCCTCGTTGTCCTCGACGCAGCTCAAACAGACCTCGTTGTCCCAGTCACAGGCAGCAACCAGGGCTTTGGGCCAGTCTGGCTCCAAATCCCCCGTGGCTGCTACAGGTCCTTCCTCTGTCAATACATCATCCACACAGAAGTGGAAAATCTGTACAATCTGCAACGAGCTGTTCCCTGAAAACGTGTACAGTGTCCACTTTGAAAAGGAGCACAAGGCTGAGAAGGTGCCTGCAGTCGCCAACTACATAATGAAGATCCACAACTTCACTAGCAAATGTCTCTACTGTAACCGCTACCTGCCCACCGACACGCTGCTCAACCACATGCTGATCCACGGCCTGTCCTGCCCCTACTGCCGCTCCACCTTCAACGACGTGGAGAAGATGGCTGCTCACATGAGAATGGTTCACGTGGACGAAGAAATGGGACCTAAGACTGATTCCACTCTAACCTTTGATTTGACGTTGCAGCAGGGTGGTCACACGAACATACATCTCCTTGTAACCACCTACAACCTGCGAGATGCTCCCGCTGAATCCGTAGCTTACCATGCTCAGAACACTCCCCCCATTCCGCCAAAACCACAGCCCAAAATCCAGGAGAAGTCTGACGTACCCGTCAAAAGTTCTCCACAAGCAGCAGTGCCCTACAAAAAAGATGTGGGGAAAACTCTGTGTCCTCTGTGCTTTTCAATCCTGAAAGGACCCATCTCTGATGCTCTTGCACATCACCTACGGGAGAGGCATCAGGTGATCCAGACGGTTCACCCCGTGGAGAAGAAGCTGACCTACAAGTGCATCCACTGCCTCGGGGTGTACACGAGTAACATGACGGCCTCGACCATAACGCTGCACCTGGTGCACTGCAGAGGGGTGGGCAAGACCCAGAACGGGCAGGACAAGGGCACGTCCCGGCTCGGCCAGTCCCCAGCTGTGGCGCCGGTGAAACGCACCTACGAGCACGTGGAGTTCCCACTCATGAAGAAAAGGAAAATGGATGATGAGGACTCCCCCTCTGGCTTTGAGGAGAAGCCTGAAGAACCCGTAGTTCTCGCGCTGGACCCCAAGGGCCACGAAGATGATTCCTATGAAGCCAGGAAGACGTTTCTTACAAAATATTTCAATAAGCAACCCTACCCCACGAGGAGAGAGATCGAAAAGCTGGCGGCCAGTTTGTGGCTCTGGAAATCTGATATCGCTTCTCACTTCAGTAACAAAAGGAAGAAATGTGTTCGGGACTGTGAGAAGTACAAACCCGGGGTGCTGCTCGGCTTCAACATGAAAGAGCTCAACAAAGTCAAACACGAAATGGATTTTGATGCTGAATGGCTGTTCGAAAACCACGATGAAAAGAACTCCAGAGTCAACGCCAGTAAGACTGTTGATAAAAAAATCAACCTAGAAAAAGACAATGAGAGTTCCTCAGACAGCTATGAAAATATCGAGGAGGAATACAACGAAAGCCGTAGTCCCTTTGGTCAGCGCATCTCTGACGTTGGTGGGAAACCCACATCTGATGGCACAGTGGAGAACCCCGAGGACAGCATATCCAAGGAAATCATGGAAGAAAATGCATTACAGTCTCCAGAGAAGCCTGATCAAAAACAAGAGGAAAGCTCTAAATATGAAGAGATTATTTCTGCTGAAGAACCAACAAAACTGGTAGGGGACATTTCGGATAGCGAAGGTGATCAGGATGATGCTGTGGAATGGAAAGATGGAGCTTCCCAGTCTGAAAGCGGGCCTGGTTCCCAGCAGGTCTCGGATTTTGAAGATAATACATCGGAAGTAAAACCAGAAGTGTGGACAGATGAATCCTCCCAAAGTGAAGATGCTGGGAGCAGTAAACCAGCTGTCGAGGCCAAAGGGGGCGGATCCGAAAGTGATGAAGAACAGTCAAAGTGGAAGAATCGTTCCTATGGAAAAGTAGAAGAGTTTTGGTCTAAGGACCAGTCGCAATGGAAGAACACATCGGAGATGGAGGAGAGCCTGTCCAGTCAGCAGATGGAGTGGCAGAGCAGCGCCATGGACAGCGAGGACGGGGAGCCCTTCGTGGGCGTGGCGGCCGCCGTGGCCGAGCCCATGCACGGCAGCCTGCCCGGAGTGGAGCTGAGCAGCCAGCAGGCGTGAGCGGCCCGGGCACGGCCTGGCATCGGCCTGGCATCGGCCTGGCATCGGCCTGCACTGCCCCACACCCCCTGCAGTGGGACTGCGCAGCTTCACCCAGCTGGGACTGCTCCCAGGGCTCGGCCTGGCCTGGGGTGGCCACTGCCGGCCCAGTGGGCCCGGACGGATGCTCTTGGCTGCTCTGGCTTGAGAATTCCTGCTGGGATGAGCACAGTAACTTAATGTGAAACGGATATGCTGGTGGCTCCAGAATGCACACAGAGAAAAGCAGAGGTTTATTTTATCTGCATTTCCAACCTTTATTCACCTTGTCCATGTTGAGTTGTGTCTTTCCAACATGCCCCTCTCGGCGGCGCGGCCGCGACCCGGTGCACCTGTATAGCAGACTCTGGGGAAATGGACTTTTCATGTATCATTCTGAATAGTTGAAATGTATATTTGTACAGTCTTTTAGACCTACTCAAGTGAAGCTTATGGAACTGTTTTTGTGTACCCATCATAGATCTGTTTCTCTTTTTTAGTGTTGCCCTGCTGTGTAATAAATGCTGTATCTAGTTTCCCTAGCAAAGCTTGAGACTGCTCTAGTATGAATTTTGACAAACTTAGTTTTTGCACATAACCTTGTACAATCTCCAACCAGAGGCCAGCAACATAAAAATATATCTGGGCTCTGTTGTATTATAGAATTTTCTTGTTCTGAATATCCTTGACATGACAACTGATGACAAACGTATTTCAGAGCCATTTTCTGAAATCTTTTAAGCTAAAAAAGAAAAATCACATGCAAGAAACAAGTTTGCAGCTACTAATTTTGACACCTTTTAGATCTGTATAAAAGTGTATTGTGTTGAAGCAGCACACTGAGACAAAGTGCTGGGTTTGGATATTTAGTTTTATCTTTAGTTAACACCAACAAGGTGTATTCATTTATACCATCTAATATATGACACACTGTTGTAGTATGTATAATTTTGTGATCTTTATTTCCCTTTGTATTCTTCATTTAAGCATCTAAATAAATTGCTGTATTGTGCTTAATGTAAATATTTGCTTTATTACATGCAACTGCTACGTTCCTGGTTAGAAAATCCCACCTTGCTCTGTTAATTCTTTTTTTTTTTCTCCTTTGTTTTTCCAAGTGCTCCACAGCCCTGCTGGGGCCTGTTTAGTACTTACTGAATAGAGTGATGTCCTTCAAGGATATTGAAAAATCTGCACAGCCAACTTGGGCTGAAATTTGTTGTTCCTGTTCAGTGTTGTAGAACACAGAGTTATAAATAGAACTGTAGTGGTTTGCTTGTTCTCCATCCTAGGGAAATTGTGAATTCCTTGCCTTTTCCATCCCTTTGTACTCAGTGAATGGAAATTGCTTTCACCTCTAAAAACCCTCCCCAGAGCTGTGTCTGGAGCACTGTGGCCTGAGGGACAGCAGAGCAGTGGTGCTGGAAGACTGATCACTCCCACAGGGAGGAGCACGGGCTGGGCTTGGCTTGGAAGGAAAAGTGATTTGGATACCAGAAAAACTAAAAATCAGGTTATTCAAAGTTGGGATTGGTTTGGCCAAGGCAGTCCTGCACTGTGGGCATGTGCAGGGAACAGACAGCTGAGCAAGGCAAGCTGAGCATTTACTGAGGGCAGTCCAGTTGTGATGACAGCAAAACTGTTCTTCATCAGAGCGATGAGTGGGAGTCATAAATCCCAGTTCCTACTCTTTGATACTTTACAAGAACTAAACTGACCTGTGCAGTTTTCACTGGTGTTGTAAAGGAGGGAATAATTCTGTGTTTTCCAACACTTTAAGCAGCAAAACCATTTCCCAGAGATCTGGAGCAGTCAGGTGGGTTTAACTGTACTTGGCCCTGGGAGCCAAAGCTGAGTCTCTGCTCCATGTGCTGCTGACACTGCAATGAGCATTTCTGGGATTTGTTGGACTCACTCTGTGTGTGATGACGGAAAACAGGTACCTGGAGGTGGAGATGATTTAGATGTGTCCTGTTGTTCCCCCCTCCCAGAAGGGACACAACTCTTGTTGTGCTTTTATAGCTCAGAGGAGTGGAAGTTGGACTGGCCAGTCCCAGTTCTGAACTCCAGGGGTAGATGATGTTTCAAGAACAATACAGGAAAAACACTTTGGCATTTAGATCAGCAAAAGAGCTCCTTGTGTTTCTCTGTTTTAAAAGAAAACTTGAACCTCAACTTGTTTTGTGAGCAGGTTTTCCAAACTATTTCATGGAGGACTTCAGTAAATCAGGTGAGAGTTTGTTAATGACCACTTAGAGCTGTCAGTGGCTTGATCTGTATCCCAGTAGCTCCAGGCAGGGAGTCCTGGAAAAGCTGAGTCCTTTCTAAGAAAACTTGGTTGTGTTCCTTCCTCCCACTGTGTTGCAGGCAGCTGCTGGCTGAAGATTGAGACATTTCAGAATTTATTCTGTGTCTTTCTTCTCGTCTTTAAGGGATTTTACAAATGTGTTTGCAAAAAACTTAAAAGTACAGCAGCCTTTATCTATCAAGCAATGGCAGAAGCAATTTGGTATCCTTTTATCAACCTGCATCAGATTTGTCTCAATATCTGGCAAGGTAAATTTAGTATTAGTGAGCTCTGTAGTTATAAGTTAAATATTCTGAACTCTTGGGTGAGTCAGTGAATACTAAAACTGAAATACGAACTCTCTAGGAGCACTTCATTTGCCAGAAAATTCCAGGAAATAGCATTTTATATAGTGATTAAATTAAAGGTCTTGCACAAAACCAGTCTCTTACCAGAATATCAAGAAGGATGGAGGGTGATTATATTAAGTTTTGCCATAAACTTTCCGCTGTTTCAAACCAGTTACTCTTCAAATGTGGATTTGAGGCTGGGCTCGGATTCCCCTCAGATTTGAGGCTAACCACACTTTTGAGGAAGTCAAAAAGCAGAAGAGGTAAAGAGCCCAATAAAACTGGGAAAACCTTAACCCCAATTTGTGTAAATTAACACCATGTGTAATGTCACACCATTATAACTTTATGAGCTGGAAGTTACCCAAGTTTTAGAGCCCTTACAAAGTTCTGTAGCAGATCTCTGGTCACCTCCTGCTCTGCTCACAGACAAGCTGCCACTGACATTCCCTGTGTCCCATGGGAGCTCGGAACCAGGAGGCTGCCTGGGCTTTGGGAGCACAGCAGCACAAAGACCATTAAGACTCTTCTTTGTTTCAGCCACTTCACTGGAATTGAAGAAAAGTGAAGTGAGTTTTCTGTCTTAATCCACTCTGAGATCTGCAGGGTGGAGCAGCTGAGACTGAGCAGCAGTTTTTGGCACAGACATGGTTTTTGGACACATGCCAGCCCTGGGCAGCAGAAGGTGGGAGCTGCTGTGCCCTGTCACCCCCAGGAACAGCGGGTGCTGAGGGCAGCCCCAGACAGGCACAGCAGCTGCTCTGGTGCTTCTGTTTTGGGGTGTCCCAGCCAGAGCTGTGCTGGTGAAGCCCTGTTCACACACAGACCTACCCTGGTGCCACATGGACACTCTCAGTGCTCCTCTCCTTCCATCCCCTCCCCTCCACCCTCGGCCACAGCCACTCAGCTCTCCCCCAAAATGAACAGGGATTTCCCAGCCGGGACAGACAGGCAGCTTTCCTAAACTCCCAGTTCTCTGTCCAGTCCATCACACACCACAGCCACCCTTAACCTTAATCCTTTCCCTGCCCTGGGATTTCTGCTCAATCAAAACATTCCTGCAACATCAAGTCAAAGATCTGCACTGAAGGTTTATTGCACGAGCTCTGAATGTTCCCGAAAGCTCCAGTGACGTTTCCTGCTGCCATCCCCTGTCCTGCAGTAACAGTTCTGCAGCAGCAACTCACTTGACCCTCTGACACGTATTTTCAAGACAAACCTGAATATTCACCCCGTATTTTTATAGGATAACTGTCATTCTTGCTACCAAGAAATTAGCAGGTGTCAAATATTCACTAGTACAGTTACAGGAAAGTTTCCCATTGTGTAGTACACACATCTCATACAATGCTATGGTATTATTTCCATTTCTATCAGAACCAAAAGATTTCAGGAATATGTTGTGTGCACTGTCTCCAGTTTTGTAATAAAGAAGTTGATATTTGGATAAACAGGTTGGTATAACTAAGAGTGTTTTGTTCCTTTCGTAACTAATTTGCCTCTCTGTAACCCCAGCTCATTTGTAATGATCCATTACAATAACCTGCATTGCAGGGGCAGAGGCAGCAACCTGCTCTGTCTCTATTGCTTTATATTTTAATTTGACTTTATCTTTCATCATCAGTCCCACTAATAAATATGAAAAGGTTGTGTTCATTTATTTCTGCATCAGAAGAGCTTTGGTCTCCATGGTTACAGCCATGCAGCTTTACTTTCACCATAAGCTTGGCTTTTTTTTCCCTTTACAGACTTTGCAGCGGGTTCTCCATCTTGAGCTTTTCCACAGGCATTTTTAAAACAGGCATTTTTTCCATTTCTCTGTACTGTACTGGATGCAAAGCCAGTCATTGGAAAGGTACATCCCCTCCTCTGCTCCTGAGGGGGTTTTGTTTCCCTAGGCATTAAAAATGGCCCAGAGGTGAACTGTGCTACTCCTGGTCCTGGCTAAGTCACATCTGCATCACACAATTGCACATCCAAAGGTACAGAAGGTACAGAAAGTGTATTCATATCACTCAAGTTGTATTACACAACAGCTTGTAAAGCACTACCCCTGTGTAATAAAGAGTGTAAAGAGTGTGCTGGGAGCTTCAGCCACGTGCAGTTTATTGAATTTTAAAATTTTGCTATTGACTTCACATCCTCTACAGTCTGAGCATTTGTGAAGCTGGCAGTGTTGGCACATGACTGGCAGGTTTAACGGGCTACATTAGAGCACTCATCAACCCTCTGATCATTTTGAATTTGAAAACATGAGGGTAAAGCAAAGTGAGCTTTTGTACATTGTCTTCACTGGTTTTGGAAGCTCATCACCTAAGTGCAAACTCCTGTGATGTAATCCCAGAATAAACATTCCATCTCCACAGAGCTCCAACAGGATCAATAATCTTTGCCTTCCCTGAAAGCTGCCAGGCAAAGACCTGAGATGAAATAGTCATAATGTCCCAAAGTACAAACAGCTGAGAATAATCCCAGGCACCTTTCCTAGAAACCTTTTAGTTATCAAAGCTTAATTATTTGGATACTTGGTACCTACATAGTCCACAGGAAAAAAGTCTTCAGTTCAGTGGAGTTCTGGCAGGTCACAGGGGCAAGCTGCTGGCAGAGGATGTCTGTGGAACAAGAACAAGGCAGAAATTCATCTTATTGCTCAAGAACAGGAAATAATACTTGAGGGGATTGACTGGTAAAAGAGGCAAGAGGGGGGTGGAATCAGCAGCTCAAACTGAAGTTGCTCTCCAATAGTAATAACTGCCTTTGTAACCAATACTGAAAATGTGAAGTTGTTTACTCTCACACCTGATTCTACAGACTTTTGCTGGGTTAATATTGAACAGATAAAAATAGAGTAGAACACAGGGGAAATTAGTTTTAAAGCACAGAGAAATGCAAATGAATCTGTACCACTGGAAAATACTGACTAAGAAGAAATACAGAAAGGGATTTGGTTTTGCTCCTGGGGTTTTGAAGAATTCAAATAATTGATTAATCTTGAATTGAGGAGATAAAATCATTTTTTCTGTGGTGCAGCAATCCAAACCTCTAGCTAAAATCCCAGTCTCAATGGAAAAGGAAGAGCCTGTCTTTCCCATGAGGCTGATGCTCTCCGGGCTCTAAACTTCTCCTCTTTCCAGAGGGTAGTTTGCTATTTAAAGGTAATCCTCCCATTTATTTGTATTTAATTCTCACTCGTGTGTTTCAAGCCGTGTGTCTGCTTGCAAAAGTTTCTTGAGCATCCACTGTTAATTCTTGGGAATAGACCCTGGCTCTCCACATTCACCGAGGCCTAATTAAGTAGAAAATATTCATTTCTCCTGGGATCTGGTACTGGCTCCTGGAGCTGTGCTCACACAGCACGGGCAGGATGGAGAGGGGTCCCGCTCACACAGCACGAAGCAAACCCGAAGCAGAGCAGCTGCGAGAACAGCCAGCTGTAACAATTCACGGGGGAACACGAACATTGTCTGTATTTCCCCCAAAATAAAAGTAGGGAGAAAGAAAAGTTAATGGTCACTCCGATATTCCAAGGAAAAGAATCTGTTCCCCATTTCTAGGGCAACACTGCCAGTGTTCATACCAGGAGAAAACAAGGCAATAGTGCTGTGAATTGCAGTAATTAAGCTTAACGAGCTGGGTGCCAATCTGTTTGCAGAAAGCCCTGCCCAGGGCAATCCACCTTCACTACGGACACAGCCTCTCAAACCAGCTTTAAAAGTAGGCTCCGGATTTCCCACTCTGGTTTGTAACCAGCTGCTTTAGAACTATTAGCATTTACTATCGAAAATTCCTCCTAACAAAGGATGCCACAATTGCAGTGAGAATGTACTCATTTCTTTTGAGATCCCTGCTATAGTAAATCTGATGCTTTGGTGAATAATCCCTCGTTATTTGTATAGTGTTACAGGTATTTTGACTCACAGGCACACCTGCCTCTGACCTGCAGGTACCATATGCTTTCTCTACACTGTCTTGACATGGGTAATTTTTTGGGGTGACTTCCTGTAACTGTGCCTTAAACACTTCCAAAAGTGACTTCTCCTGGTTTATGTCCAACCACACCAAACTTTCATCGAGGAACTCTTTTGTTACCAGCTTATGTTAAAGGAACTATTTCACTCATTACCTGGAGTACAGCTGCTGAACCACTGGGAAACGAGAGGCAAAGTCCCCAATCCACGTGATGTGACTGTTTTCCAAGGAAGGGGTCCAAGGAAAGCTTTTCCACAGTGGCACAAATGCCATCCAGGTTTAAACAACAGGGGCAAGAGGAACCTCTGTGCTGTGCACGTCACACAGGCTGCACATGAAATAATTCCTTTGTGGGCAGGCTGCTGGGAAACTCAAAGGAAAGGTGATGTGGTTGTCAGCTAAGCAAGAGGGGGAAGGAGGGAAGAAGGAGAAAATATCTTGAAATTCCAAAGCTCTTGAAGTCATCACAAGAGAAAGGTTTAAGTAGAAGCAAATAGCTTTTCACCTCTAGATCACTCGATTCCTGTGAGTCACCTTCTAATAAAGGCCAGATCACAGCCCTCTGCTGGAATCAGATCTCTGTTGAGCTGCCCTATACCCGTAGATTCTATTACTTTAAAGATCCAACAATGAGGGAATAAACTGAGGAAATAAAGATTAAAGGAATTACAGAGGAATTTAGCATTTGCAAGGCAGTAAGGCATGTTCAGATGAGGCCTGATCAAATAGTAGTAATGAAAGGATTAAAACATTTGCGAGAGCTTTTGAAAAATCAAGTCCACACAACTCTGCACTTGCAGGCAAATAAAAGCACTGGCATGTAGAATCATGCCTGGAAGATTAAAACTTCTGGTGGCAGCTGTAGAGACTTCAGTCAGTGGCATTTGAACAGGCAGCCGAGTTATCCAGGGACACAAACTGTGTCACACCGTCAGAGGCACTAAAAGCACCCTTGGGAAAGGCAGTTTGAAGCCCCCAAGAACCAGATCCCGGCAAACACAGAGCAGGGCAAAAATGACCCGTTTAAGAGCAGAGTGGTTACTCTGACAACTGCAACCCAGCATCAGAACAGCAAAGCTGGGTCAAAAGGTGGTCACTTCCAGGTTGTGTCACGCCCAGCAAACAGCTTAATTCACAGTCAGTCAGATTGTACCTTCGACTGAAGGGAAATAACTGCTGGGCTGAGGGGGGGGTGCCTGCTCAGTATCAGTTCCACAGCCGGGCTCAAGTCAGCTCACACAGCAGCACCACATTTAAGGCAAGTGCTCCAAGAACTGCTGATGTGGACACAGAAAACCGTTTCCCTTCCATCCAAGTTTCAACAAGATGGTCCAGAAATCCACCTTAGTACTGATTTTATAAGGCAGATGGAGGGCATCTTCCCTCGGGGACCATTAGCCCAGCCCAGAGTTCATCCATCTGTCCCTGTCCCTGTCCATTCTCTTTCCAAAGGGCTCCCAAACAGCTCAGAACAGGCAGTGCTTCCCCTGGGAAGCAGCTGGGGCAGCACAGGAGGTCTGGGCTCTCAGAGGGGCAGGGCTGGTACAGCCCCCGAGTTCCCCACCTGAAAGGTTTGGCATCACCAGGAGGATTTGTGACCCTATTCCAAGCAGGATGGTTATCCAGGCTATTTACAGCTAAAACACAGAGCTACTTCCACAGACAGAGGGAAGAACAGATTACCTGAGAAAAGGGGGAGGGATATTATTTCATGTAGAAAAACCAAGCTGCCCTTCCACATTCTGTGTCCCTGGAAACTTGGACCTTCATTCTGACTCTGACAGGGGTCATTCCAGACCTCCCCCCCCCCAAAAAAAAAAAAAAAGAAATAAAAGTCTCCTTTCAGGCTACCAGATGTACAGCCTGGTAATTCAGCAGTAACTGTCCTGGGGTATTTATCCCTCTGAACTCAGCTCTGGATCAATTCTGCCTCTTCGAAGCCAGGAAAGGAACAACAATTAAATATTTCAATCCCCTCTGCTGGACTATGGTGATGACTTTGCCTGAAATACTATTCCCATTCCCAGAGCTCCTGAATCCATGTCTCTCACACCTGCTGCCTACCACCTGAAGCAGCACTAATGCACCTTTCCCTTGACACCAATAAACAGATTTGCTCCAGTTAGTTTACAGGGAAGGCCTGCCAAGCTTTCTGGAGTGGATCAGCACGGCTGCAGGTACCCAAAGAAGGCAATGCAGCTCAAGGAGTACCTCTCCACAGAGACCTGCAACACACATCTGAACTCTGCTATCAAAGATAAAAGGGGATTCTTGGCTCTCTGGCAATAATTATTTTTCAGCTCTGATCATTCTTGTAGGTATTAAAATCAATACCTAGACTGACTGTAGTAATCAGAACAAAGCAAAAGCTAAAACCTCTTTCTTTGGCAGCTCCAAAATCATGCAAACTTCATTTTTTTCCAGCAAAACTTAAAAAATTATTATTTGAATTCCTCTCAATCTTGATTTTTAGTATAGTTTATATAACAATGGTAAAATAATTTTCATTTCTACTAAAAGAGATGTCCACTACTGCCACATCAGAGACCACTTTTGCTCAGGCTGCCTTCCATCCTTATCTCCCATTTTGGGGCAACCAATCCCACTGTGCCAAGAAAACAAACCTCAGCTCTTCTGGAAGCCTGTGCTGAGTGACCATGAGGATGTAAGCATGGGAAGAAACCCTCAGCATAAAACCAGTGCTGGGGCTCATCCTCAGCCAACCAGCCCAACTTCTCAGAAGGTTCTTAACCAGCCACAAGGAATCACCTTTTAACTGGCAACTCCAAACCAGGCTGACGATTGAAGATAACCTGATACCAGCCCTACAGACTCGTCAGACACGCTGCACCTCGGTAGCCGAGGCAGAGAGGTGGCACAGCACATCCCAGGGGACAGCAAGTCCCAGCAGAGCCCGGATTTGCATCAGGGGAATTCTCACAGCGCCTGCAGCGCTGGTTAAAACCTCAGCACCTCCAGCTGTGCTCCCCATTCCTCCCCCAGGGGATTTTTCTCTCCATCACAGGAGGAGGTGTGTCACCACATTAGAGTCAGCCTGGCCCAGCCTGGCACAGCACCTCAAACCCCTGACGAGGGCAGGTTTGTACCAATGAGCCAAAACCATTCATTGCAAAAGCCAGAGTACGAGTGGAAATTCTCCTCTTCAGGACAGAAGTTCCTGTCCTAAGGCAAACACAGCAATGTCAAACCACTCCAGTTCTCAGAACGCAAGTTTTGGAGCTCAATTTCTGCCTACCTCCTACACCAGTTATACTTTACCCAGCACTCCTTACAAGAGCTGGGTTTCATTCTCCATAGGAGCAGCTTTACTGTCTCAGCCAGGTAAGGAAATCAAACTACCTCTCTGAAAGCCCAAAATGTGACTGGATGGGGAGCACAAGCTGCAGAACTTTCTTCCTGAAGAAATACAGAAGTCTTTTCCTTTCTGTTGTTCCAAACATTCTGTTCAAGCACTTCAAGCAAAGCGAATTCCCTGCAAGCTCCAGAAGGCATCACATAGACCCCTTTGGCTGAAATTGGCCATTCATGACAATCTTTCACTTATATATATAATTTCCCAAAGAGAAGGATAAATCAGGCTTCCCTTTGTGAAGCACAATACGACAAAAATATGTAAAAACTG